ATGTTCCCAGGTTCTGCTGCATAGACAGCTAATTTTACCCAGGGCTGTGCAGAACACCAACCTATGTTGGCAATATAGGTGGCATAAAGAGATGGATCTTATCTGAAGGAATTTGCTTTCCCTGTTTTTCTTCCTCAGCACAAACAGAAATGATAGAAAAAGGTTTGAACTGCAAATTCTTTGCAAGACAGCTTAGCCAGGAGCGGAAAACATGAACTCTGAGGTGTATTTTGTACCTTCTTGAAATCTCTTTTTGTGTTCTGTTGTCCAGCTCACCTTTAAAGCTTTACATTTCTATTTAGCTACAAAGAGGCTGCCTTCCAGTACCACCTGTGTGTAAATGGGATTTTGCACAGTGGAATCTTACCTAGGGCTGCTGATATATGAACTACTGACGTACAAATTGCTGCTTTGTTTCTGATATTATGCAAAATACAATTCTAACCTTCTTCAAATGCAACTGTGGACAGCATTTCTAGTGGTGTTGAGACTGAGGGGGACTACTCATCTATTTGCTATCATTCTGCATGATGAAATATCAGGGACTTCCTGAGAGTTTATTGCATCTTCCAGATGAATCTGTCAGCTGAGAAGGTCTTTCAGTTTGGGGAGAGAGAATTGAGGTTTCATTTTGTTTTAAGATTGAAAACCAGGCATTTTGTGATATTTCTGGGAATCCAGAATGGAACTTTTCATCAAAACAAGAGAGAAAGTTTCACCTAGTCAGAGATGTGGTTGATGTGGTATTAACCTAGGACATAGAAGATTCAGGCTAACATTCCTGGTTTTCCCAGTTCTCACCAGGGAACACAAGTAACCTGACTGCTACTTGGAGAAGGCATCTTGTAGTGGTAAAGATCTGTATCTTTGATTTGTTTCTTTGCTTAAAACTATAGCAGGGCTCACATTTTGGACCATGACAGAAGAAAATGTCCCCATAGTTTCAAAACCTGGCATCTGCTTCATGAGATAGATGAAATAGAACACACCTTTTCTGCACAACCCTAACTTAAAGATGATGCAGTGTTTTACACAGGTTAAAGTTCCTAGTCTTTCGAGTCTGGAAAGCAGAGTTTTTCAGAGAAAGGCATCAGTGGCTTGCTTATGTCTCTACTCAAAAGGCCACTTGCAATTCCATTGTGTACAGGTTGGGAAGCATTTTGGGAAGGGTGAAACATAATCCTGGAGTGAATAGTATATAGAACAATTACCTAGCTATACCTTAGCACCTTCCACAAAGCACTCCAACCGGGGACTGAGGGATACTCTCCAACTGCAACGCACTGACATATCTGTTTCTAAAAGGCAGAATTAAAACCAGCTGCAGACCCACTGATACACCAGGAACAGCAGAAAACCTCTTCAGGGAGCATGGATCCTCTCTACCTGCTCAGAAATTCCCACCAGGGTACAGTCCTGCAATGGGGTAAGTGTTGGGGTTCTCCTCCCACTGACCAGCCTCAGCTCCCTTTGCAGGGAAAGAGCAAGTGACACCAAGCAGCTCCCACTCGCATTGCTTAAGAACCAAGAGTAACCACAGAAGTCATCCCCATGCAAGAGCCACAAAAAACCCTATTTATTTTCTTTCTCTAAAGTAAAATAAACCCCATTATAATCATCCTAACCATAACAGATACTTCAGCCTGCAAACACTCTCAAAGCTGCAGTGGGCAATAAATCAGACGTGTCACTTCCAGCAACTCATCCCTGGAGTTGGCTGCTATGTGGCCATAATATGCAAAGAGGCTTTTTCCTGGTGATCCTCAGCAGCAAGATTCCTTTTGCTGGCTGTTCTTTATACAAACACTCCTGTAAATTACAGTTGAATCTAAATTTAGCTTTCAATCCTAATCATTTTCCTCTAATTTAAGGTGGATTTGGTTCTGGTAGGCTGATACACTGTCAGTGTTCATTTAAAAAGCTTAATGCAATTAACCCAACTACAAATGTATGCATATGACGTCCCCGCTACCTTAATTCACATAAAGCACTCTGAAGGAAACCAAGACCTTCTGTTTGCCAGGCAAATTGTTTTAAAACAATTTAAAAGAACAATTTAAAACAATTTAAAAGAACAACAGCAAAAATCAATAACGGGCAAAAGAAGATTCTGCAATGTTATGAAAGGCCAGCAAAATACACTGTGGCTGTGCCAAATCACAGCTGTAACATCCCATCCCTTCCCCCATCACCCAGAAGGATAAGAGAACATTTTCAGTAAAGCCACAGAAAATGAAGGCTTACACATCTTTGATGTCCTAGAGATGGAGGAACATCTGAGCCACTAATCTGGCACCATTTCTCTTTCATTAGTTTAAGCTCTGAAGAAGTTTGGATGGCACTGGATCTAGAAGAGGGATTAATTGTTTAACCTTATAAAATCAATTACACTTCTTTTGGTGCTGCTTTTTGGGCTGTTCTGTATTTTTAGTTTCCCAAAGTATTTGAAGCTTGACTCACTGCTAAACTCCTCAGCAAACACAGTACCTGTGGATTCACTAAACAAAGAACTGAGACTAGACTTCAAGATCTTTATAGACTTTGGATCTGTTGTATGTACTCAAAACCCTAAGTACTGCACATATCCAACTTGATTCCTATCAGGAGGTGGTGTGGCACAGCTCATCTGATGTAGAATTCTTTCAGTTTTTTCAATCAGAATATGTTACCATTCCATAACTATCTGTCCTCCTGTACGTTGTGAGCTGTTATTTTACTTCCCAGTAAAGAGGTAGTTGAGTTGCAATGATTCCCTACTCTCAATAAAGCTGATGTTCTGTCCTACCTAGTCATTCACACATCTCTGTCTAGACAGGTAAGAATCTCAACCTCCATTCTGGTCACTGCCTTTTGAAGCTCCTTCATGCTAACATGCTCCCCATATATGTTACTCTACTTTTTGGCAGGAACCAGAGTGCACACACACTCCTCCCATCCATTCTTGCACTCCAGAAATTATGCAGCCCTTTTGCCTCCTCTTGATATAAAGAAGAAAACAAATAAATCAGGGAAGATAAAGGGGTGTGTTTTTACTTTTAAACAGGAAAAATTATATGGTGGGAAGTGCTTAATCCAAGAGGTCAGATACTAACACTAAAAACTGAGGGAGATATTTATTGATACCTTTAATTAGCATGTACTTGGTTTACCTAAGCAAATGAGCTGGTAAAACACTTAACAGATTTATTTATGAAGACAGAAAGAGAGGAATAAACTATTTGGGTGACAAAATCCCAGTAGCAGTCTACAGCAATTTCATGTCTGACTTTGCTGTCAGCAGGAGAGAGAAGGGCTTGTCTTTTCTGCTTACAGCAGGTACTAAGCTTCTGTGAATAGTGTTATTTGCTGACAATCAGTGGCTTTGTGCACATATTTTCATACATATATATGTATGTAGATATGTACATTTATACACATACACAGAGCCAAGACAAAGGAGATGCTAACCTTCAGCGCAGCCTTTCAACGGTCGCCTCTCACAAGGAGTCTCAGTGAGCTGCATCTTTCATCCTCTGCCATTCTTCATGCATGTGTAAATAGAGATACAAAGTGGGAACTACAATGTCAGAACAATACACTTGTGTCATCGATCTCTTTGCCCTCCTTTTGCAGAGATGCAAATGCTTTCATAAATATTTTCTAAAGGCCTAGAAAAAATGGCTCCAAGTTTCCTGACCTCCTACTATCTGTCTTAAAACCCTCCAGGTTTTCAATCTTCCAACAGCTTTGTTTCTAATATTAGCTCAAAGTTAGGTGCTGTCCTCCTTCAGCAATGAAGACAAGGTGTCCCTGCCCATGGCAGGAGGTTGGAACTAAATGATCTTAAGGTCCTTTCCAACCCTAACTATTCTATGATTCTATGAGTCAATGTAGAACAAACTTTGTCTGTTGTTCAACTCCATGACACAGAGAATATGAGAATGTGTTTTTAGAAGCCTGACATGGAACCTAAGACCAGCCCCAGTGCCTAAGATGAGCCTAGAATGATCATTGACTTCAATATGGCCTTGCTTAGGTGTTCATTCCCCCTCCCACTGCATTATACTAATTTGTTTTCTTATCTTACATTAAAGTTAAATGTACATGTTCATAGGTCAGATAGTACTTCTGTCACACACATTTACAGCGCTTCAAATAGGAGGACCCTGGTTCATTATTAGAGATGCTGCACACTATCTCAATATAAAGGTTAATTACTATCACTTTACTAATGCTCACTGATAAGATCCCAAGTGCTGTTTGAAACAGCACAACGTTCTGTAGACATACGCAGCAACAAACAGTATTACAACATGAACTGGTCCAAATTTAAAGTAACTGAGCTTAAAAATGATTTTTGACTGATCCTTGTTAATAAAGTTCATAGGTGTGCTATAGAACAGGGCGTCCTGCTAATGGTGAGCTTTCAGCCAGGGAGTGCAGTGCAGTTTGCATAGTCCTGCCTGAACGCAGGAATAATGCATGACTTGGCCAGTCACTGTCACCAAGCAGTGATGTGTACAAAGCACAAAAAGCATTTTCATGTTTAAGAGGAAATACTTCAAATATTCAACAATCCCTGTCTTCTTAATATTGTTCTCCCAGGGCCTCAGCAGCTCACAGCATCTGATGCCATGTTGCCAGGAAGGCTACTTGTCAGCAGTTGCAGTGTGAGCAGCAGCAGGAGGCTCCGAACAAACATGTGAGATAAAATGCTCATTCAAGAGACAGCACAATGGCTGTTTTCTAAGTGGCACGAAGCGCTTCACCCGGCAGGAGCCCTCAGATCTCGGCACTGAGCAGCTGGGTTGCACTTTGCTCCTATCAATAATAATGATAAATAATAATAACGATGGCAAAGGAAAAGGAAACTCTGAGCTCCCAAGCTGTTTCAGATGGACTCAATGCTCCTGCATCTGAGGACACAGGGCTTAATTCCCACACCTCTCTCCCCACAGCCCCCCCTGCTTCCATAGGCTGGATGGGGAGTAGGGATGCAGGGCTGCCCTGTATCCAGGCAACGGGCATTGCTGAGGCTCTGCAAACCTCTGAAGTGCACAGGAGGACCAGCTGGGGCAGGTACCCCCCTGGCTTCACAGAGTGCAGAGAGAAGGAGCTTTTCCAATGGTAAAGAATAAAGGCAGAGAGCAAAACAAGATCTGCAGCTACCTTCTGACAAAGAAAACACATTCCCAGGTCTCCCTGGGGCTGCTTTCCCTATTGGGAAGGTGCCTGGGACAGTCTGCAAAGCTTACTGTGACTTTCTCTCTTATTTCTCAGTGCTATGTATGCCCTTCCCTAGGCCCACCTCCTCTATTGCAGGAACTCTCCATATTTACTAGCCACCTGCAGGTAACAGTCTCAATTCCTAGAGCTGCGTTTTGGCCAGGCAAAACCTACTGATGTCATGATTAATGGATATGCACACACATCCCCAGGCTTCACATGGTCTGTGGGAGAAAAGGTCAGTTGAGAACAAACAACCCATCAATCTGTACATTCACAAGGGGAAAAAGTTCTTCATCGGTAAGGGGATAAACTTCTAGTGCTAGGGACGTGAGTAAGAGCATTGCCACTAACTTCAGTCACATCCAGATTCCCTTTGCAGTGCTTTAGGCAGGCTTATTCATGATGCTGTGCTCTACTCTCCTCCCCTGTACTGCTGGTGTTGACAGAGATTAGGATGGTCTTGATTTGGCAGAGGTTCAGTGTTTGAGGAAAGACCAAAGAACACCATCAACTAAGAATGCTATGGACAAGAGCTACAAACCACACAAACCTGGTCTGTGAGCATCTTCAATTCACAGGTGAGCTCCAGGACACTGGCATTCAAAAGACAAATCAGAGAGGACGAACTTATTTGACAGAGAACTGGAAGGATGCTCATAGAGCTGCTGTAGTATTCAGCTGCCTCCCAAACAATTGCTGGAGCTGCCATATGGACATCATATGATAGCAGATATACATGGAAGAAGGATCATGAATAGAAGAAAGAAATGCATAGCAAATTGCTGCATTAAGGTGCTCTGATTGAAACCAGACTTAATTCAAAGAAACCCTGTGTCCAGTATGATAAAAAGAGGTCACAATGGCCCTTTTCTACCTTACTCAGTGCTGTGTCAGCACTTGAGGATCTCAGCCATAAACATCACTCATGATACAACACTGTACAGCAAACACAACAGTTAGTCTAACCTTCCTCACCGTCACAGTGCTGATATACTGTCCAGTTGGAATGCTTGCTTTTATTTACCATAACTAGAAATGTTAAACACTGCCTAGGGGTGCATGAAATGCTTAGATGATCTTTAAAGTCCCTTCTAACCCTAAATCATTCCATGATTCTATGAAACACTAAAACCAGGAGCACTCTTTGAAACTTGGGAATTCTCATGGCTCCTGCTGTAATCTCAGCTCCCTGCCTGTGCCTTCCCTCATCTCTTAACAATTTATACAGCCTTGGCAGATAGATAGCTTCTTTTCCTTCTAGTAGGAGACAGCACAGTATAAAGTTACTCATTAAGGGAGGTAAAGAACTGCCTACCTGGAATATAGCATCACCTCTAGTTGAACTCCAGAGAAAAATAAGTAGAGCCCTTTGCTCCTTTGTGAGCAATGGCCCAGAACATCAGAAGGGATTGGCAGAGACCTGGCTGCCAGGTACTTCTGGATTTCAATCCCAGTTTGCCCACCGATTCGCTCAGAGGGAAGGCAAAGTTCTCTTTATCTTTTATATCAAACCAGCTTTCGCCCCCAAAATCTTACACATGTAAAGACTGCCTTGATCACATAAATCTCCTTTGCAGCCCCATACGCCCTTTGTGCAAAAGTCCTTTGCAGCATTGCCTCAGTAAAAGCAAGAAGACTACATGTATTTGACTGTGGCAAGGCTGAATTGCACCCAAGAACCTGGAGGCAGGGGAAAGGAGAAAGATAGAAGATGTGGAGCAGCTCAGTGATATGACACTCCCGTAAAGCTAAAGCACGGAGGTCCTTACTGAGATAAGGAGTGCTCCAGATCAGAGGTGACAGCAAAGACCCAAGAGGGCAACTTAATCCTGATCTAGGAGAACACTGAGACATTCACAGCACACCTCAGCAAAGCCCTACCACCACTGGCTTCTTCAGGACCCACAACTTTAAGCACCCGTTTAAGTGCTTTAGAGCACAGTTGGGGCTGTTTAGCCTGGAGAAGAGAAGGCTGCGTGGAGACCAAACAGCAGCCTTCCAGTATCTGAAGGGGGCCTATAGGGATGCTGGGGAGGGACTATTCATTAGAGACTGTAGTGATAGGACAAGGGGTAACAGGTTAAAACTTAAACAGGGAACAGGGGAAGTTTAGATTGGATATAAGAAGGAAATTCTTTCCTGTGAGGGTGGTGAGGCACTGGAATGGGTTCTCCAGGGAGGTTGTGAATGCTCCATCCCTGGTGGTGTTCAAGGCCAGGTTGGACAGAGCCTTGGGTGACATGGTTTAGTGTGAGGTGTCCCTGCCCATGGCAGGGGGGTTGGAACTGGATGATCTTAAGGTCCTTTCCAACCCTAACTATTCTATGATTCTATGAAAACAGGACAGATGTCTTAGCCCATTGCAAGACCAAACTCTTCTGCCTGGCATAAACTGATCCCTCATTCAGAAACTACAACCAAAATGAGCAGCACTGAAAGACACAACAGAGCATCTCCGATGGAGAAGAAACCCAGAGCAACACTGATTGATTATTCCCAGAATGTCTTCCCCAGAAGCATTGATGCAGTACGTGCCTGGGACAGCAGCCCTGAGCAGTGCATGGAAACAGTTGAAAAGCTCCCTGAGCCCTCCCTGAGCCCACAGACCTCCCTGCCTGATGAGCACATTAAAACAGTTCTGCAGAGCACTACAGCCTGGGTCCCTACTAAAAACAACATTCCCTTCCTGCATCGCCTCCCCTTTAAATCAAGCCCAAACCCCAGATCTGGGGGCACCTCCACTATGTGTATAGTGGTATCCGTCCAACATTCCTCAGTAATAGCATCACTTGGGCTGGGGAGGAGGAAGCTGCACACTGGGGAAAAGCATCGTATGAGGGATACAGGAAAGAGAGGCAAAACAATACCCATCAGAGGTTTCAAACAGAGCATTCTGCTGGGGCTGAGGGCAGTTAATTTAATGCTCAGCTACAAGTTACTGGGACACAATAAAGGAGAATTAGCAAAGAAAACATTTAATGGTGACTATAAGCACTTTATTCCTTGACTTACAGCTGAGAGTATTCAGTAACTCAGAGGTGGATGGGATAATAGGAACAAGAAAAGCTCCAGAAAACAGGCTACCTGCAACTACAAGTGACAAAAGCAGCTCATCAGCAGAAGCAAGAGTAATGTGCTAATGATCATTTTCCTGCCAGGCAAACCCCAGATTTTCAAGCAATGGAGCACAAACAAATCTAGCAAAACCCAAGAAAAATTACCCTGCATCAATAACATCAGAAAGAACACAGAAAAGAAAGATCAACAGATTCTGTTGTGGGGGTGACAAAACTAAAACAAAACAGAAGGGAAGAATTGCTTCAGATTGAACTGGAAGATTTGGCTTCTGAAACAAAACAATACAAAGGTATTTCTTCACATCAATTCTCCAGAGCTCTTCTGCAGTCTAAGATGAAACTTCATTTTCTTACATTTCCTAACCTAACAAAGCGCTACACCAAACAAACCAAAACCTCATTATATAAAATGTTTGGATCACGTTTTAATAGGAAAATGTGTTTTTCATTGTTAAATGTTGAAAGGATCAGCTTTGGCATTTCTAAACCAAAAATGTGTTGAATTAAGAAATCTGGAATTAAACGGTTTGGTGTTTACAAATATATATGTGACCCTTCTGTTCACTGAAACAATTTGTTTAGTTTCCACTGGATTTTATGATTTATGGTGCCTGTGAAGATTTTGGAAATAAAGGCTTGTGTAATTCCTGTCATTCATAACAATGATCTAGTACAGAAATATGATTCGCAGACTTGATACGCACAGATGATTTTCTATTCATAGGCGAAGAAGCATCAGATCACTGCACTTTTCACCAGTTACTGCAGGGATGTGCACCTGATGTCAGTAACACTGCACGTAGTGCTCCAGGCATGACATGGTTCTAAAGTTAAAGTCACGCAACAAGAGGTTGTAACCCAGGTTATTTGCTCACGAGTTAAATGTCCTGTCACTGGATAATACAGTATCTGAAGGGGGCCTATAGGAATGCTGGGGAGGGACTCTTCATTAGGGACTGTAGTGACAGGACAAGGGGTAACGGGTTAAAACTTAAACAGGGAAAGTTTAGACTGGATATAAGGAAGAAGTTCTTTCCTGTTAGGGTGGTGAGGCACTGGAATGGGTTGCCCAGGGAGGTTGTGAATGCTCCATCCCTGGCAGTGTTCAAGACCAGGTTGGATTAGGCCTTGGGTGACATGGTTTAGTGTGAGGTGTCCCTGCCCATGGCAGGGGGGTTGGAACTTGATGATCTTAAGGTCCTTTCCAACCCCTAGCTATTCTATGGTTCTATGATTCTATGATTCCTGATCAATAGAAATAACACACAGGAAAAGACCAAGCTCTCAAGAAGCACTTTTTGCTTGGAACAACTGAGTACCCTTAGGGATTTATATTGCTCATTCTAAACATTTGGATTCAGGTTTACACTTACATCTAGCTAGTTTGAAGTTTTCTTGTTATAGAATCATCAGAGAACCACAGAATGCTTTGGGTTAGAAGGGACTTAAAGCTCATCCGATTGCAATCCCCTGCCACGGGCAGGGACACCTTCCACTAGAGCAGGTTGCTTCAAGACTCGTCCAACTATACCTTTAAAAACCCCAAACAAAACAACCAAACAATAAAACAACCAAAAAACCCCATTTCATTATATCTTTTTTAAAGCCACCCTCCCTTATCCCCTTCTCCTGAGACAAAGACATTGAATATAGCCAACTTTATCCACTGTGTGGTAATACGAAGTCACTAGAAGAATCAAAGCTTTTCTGTACTGATCTTCAGGTATTTTTAATGGCCATAAACTTTATTCATGTAAGTAGCCTGAACATAAAATTCTTAATTTTGAACACTGGGTTTTGGCAGAAGGAGATGGAATAGCAAAATGCCAACTCCTGGTTCCAATCAGCTCAGTGAGAGCTTAGCCTTCAGTGCTGCTACCAGATAATGTACAAAACTGGGAGATGGAAAAGGAAATGGAAAAGCAAAGGCAGTTCTGGCAAGTGAGCCCACTTTCCAGTAACGTGATCCATGCACTAAGCCAACTCAACTAACAGGCCAATAACTTGCGATAAACTTATAGCTCCATTCTGAAAGCTGAACACATAAGCATGGGAAAGAAAAGGACAAACTGATTCTTTTCCTTCTTGTTGACTTAATACTTGTGGGATAAATAAATTAAAATCGAAGATATTATTTTTAGGCTCCTTAGAATGCACTCTTGGATGTACTTTGCAGCCACAAAGGTTATAAATGGTCTGGGTCAGTTTGAGGAGTCAGTGCCAAATTCTGCCTCAACAGATGTATCATCTGTATTGCACTGGGTATCTGTGAGCCTCCATCATCAGCAAGGGCTACTGGGGCGGTAGGGAGGAATGCCCAGGACTGATATCCACCCCTGCCACAGAACATGGGAAACCAGTGGGTTGGGTAGCCATAAACTCTAATACCCTGTCATCAAGAGTCACCAGGGAAAGGTGCCAGAAACAGTTTGAAATAGCAATGAAAGAAAGCTGATTCCCAGGAAAAGCTTCCTTCTACCCTCCTGAGCTCAGGGGCTGGCTCATGCCATGCAACAAGGAGGGACTGAGTCTGTTAAAGCTGTTTCAAGCCAGAGCTGCAGCCCGTCTGAACATTAGCACCTGGCGAGCGTTGGGGGATTTGAAACTAAACCTTCCACAAACGACTGAAAACGGATGTTTATGTCGTTTAAACATACCTCTTTGGAATTGATTTGATTTTGCACATGTTGCTGAGAGGTTGGTTCATTCATTCATGTGCTGTGCTCTGATTTTTCAGGCAAGTAATGGCTACAGACAGTCCTCCGTTCAGCTCAAGACCTCCTGATGCTGGGCACTGAAGCTAAAACACAGGCAGAGCACTGCCATTATATCCCCCATGTCATCGGCCACAAATTGCCTGTGTGTCATCCCTGCCTCACAGTTCCTGCCAAAGAGGAGAGCCCTGAACACCCCCCACAGGCAGGTCTAAGGCTGTTCAGTCCCTGGTTTCTTATCTGCCAGCTCTGTCAACAAATGCAACATCTGCCAAGGATGCAGCTCACATCCATTAGAAGCTCACGGGAGCATAAGTCATGTTACAAAGGACGAAGCAGCCATTAGGTTGTCATTATCTTCACTGTGCACAAGCCTGTCCAGCAGCTGACCTACATGTAGGCACAAGAATTCTCAAGGCTTTGCACTAAGCAGACACTGCAATGTAAGCAAGAAACCTCAGGTCGGGGTTTCAAACAGGTCAGGGCATTCAAGAGTGATAATAACCTTTTTCATATTCTGCAAGTTTAAAACTCAACTGGTTTTCAGTTACTTTTTCTTTTTTAATGTAAAATCATAGAATCCCAGACTGGTTTGTGCTGGAAGGGACCTTAAAGCTCATCCAGCTCCAACCCCCTGCCATGGGCAGGGACACCTTCCACTAGAGCAGCTTGCTCCAAGCCCCTGTGTCCAACCTGGCCTTGAACGCTGCCAGGGATGGGGCAGCCACAGCTTCTCTGGGCACCTTGTGCCAGCGCCTCAGCACCCTCACAGGGAAGAATTTTCTCCTAATGTCTAATCTAAATCTCTCATCTGTCTTAGTTTAAAGCCATTCCCCCTTGTCCTATCACTTCCTGCCCTTGTGAAAAGTCCCTCTCCAGCATTCTTGTAGGCCCCCTTTAGGTACTGGAAGGATGCAAATTCAAATATAGGTATTGGAAGAATGCCATTCAAAAAAAAGCATAGGTATTTCTTGAATGGCAGGTTTTCATGTGAGGATAAGGAAGTTCCAGATTATTTCTTTCCTTTTCCCTTCTCCATTCCTGCTTTATAACAGAAATGAGGAGCAACAGGGGAAAAAAATGAAGATAGACCCTTCAGAATGAAAACTCTTTCATCTTTGAGCTTCTCCAAAAAGAAATGCAAAGTTTCTACACCAAATACTTCTATCAACAACAGAAGAACTTACCGGCTGAATTACCTTACTTATGCAGATGGGGGAAAAAGGCAGGCAGGAATCAAGCTACTTCCCACTGTCAGAACACAGGCTAAGCACAGATCTAGTAATTGAATGCAAAACTCTCCAAACCCACTTCAGTGCTTATAGGGTAACACTGTCCTTAATACTGATTTCAATAGTTATCACCTGTCACTGATCCCAGCTCTTACTCGTAAGCCCAAGGAAAAAAAGCTTCAATACACGCACATCTACCCTTCTTACATATCAGCTTCCTGAGAAATCTCTGCAGTGCAAGAATAGTGCTAGCAGCTCTTAAGCTAAGTCGCCAGCTTCACTCAATGCTTTCCAAAATTCACAAATCAAAAGCAAATGTACTCCTGGAGGTCTCAAAATAAGCAATGCAAAGCCTTCAGTGCCTGAGTGACGCCAGATCTCAGCTGCTCCATCGAGGATCAGCACGGCGATGAAAGACAGCTTTGCTTTCCTGCCCTGTTACGCTGAGTAAACCCCATTTTCCCTTGACAAAGCACTTTTCCTGTGATATAGTCAGAAAAACCTTTAAATTACCACTGTAGCATTGGAATTAAGTGGCAGGAACTGACACAGATGTATTTCTAATGACAATTTATTTCTTCCTCCTTCATTGTCGTTTACAAGTCACACAAGTTTCTGCCTCCATAGGAAAATATGCACAGCAAAAACCAGTCCCCGCATGTGCCATGGGTAACTTCAGAAGCACCAACTCCAGACCTCTGGGGGAATATCTCTCACCTCTAGATCCATAAGGAACAGAAACATCAAACATGTCCCACATCATCATCAGCCACTTACAGCCTGATGAATTATCTGACAGCACATTCAACATCAGGAATTAAGAGCTGAAATCTCCTTCTACCCCAACCAAGATCCTAAGTGGTGCTCCTCACCACCAGGAGCAAGATGGAAATGGTACTCGCCACATGGTCTGCCTGCTCTCTGGATGCATCACTGACCCAACACTCAGCCTTTACACTCATCTTTCACTTGTAAAGGTGCATACAACATCATCGTTGGCCATGACAGTTATTGGGACAATAGTTCTGGTTGTCCCCAGCATAAGAAAGACATGGAGCTGTTGGAGCAAGTCCAGAGGAGGCCATGAGGATGATCAGGGGACTGGAGCACCTCCTGTATGAAGACAGGCTGAGGAAGTTGGGGCTGTTCAGCCTGGAGAAGAGAAGGCTGTGTGGAGACCTCATAGCAGCCTTCCAGTATCTGAAGGGGGCCTATGGGGATGCTGGGGAGGGGCTCTTCATTAGGGACTGTAGTGACAGGACAAGGGGTAATGGGTTAAAACTTAGGGGAACTACAGGTTAGATATGAGGAAAATCATCTCTGTGAGGATGCTGAGGCGCTGGCACACGTTGTCCAGAGAAGCTCCATCCTGGCAGTGCTCAAGAACAGGTTGGATGGGACCTGGAGCAACCTGCTCTAGTGAAAGGTTTCCCTTCCCACAGCAGGGATTGGAACTGGACGAGCTTTAAGGTCTCTTCCAACAGAAACCATTCTATGATTCTATAAATGTGAGCAGATTGTAACCAAAACACAAGGCCTGGGAAACAATAGGTATTGGGGGAGAAATGTCCCATTTATCTGTACAGTGTTAACTCAGGCATCCAACAACATGTCAAAGGCTATTAGCTGCTTCACTGCTAATTTGGGAACCGAGCACACGGGGTATCACATCGTTCCACACCACTTGCTGTGAGTGGTATCTCCTCTTGGTACCACAGTAGATAGCATTTGGGAGGCACCAAATTACCTTTTGTGAAGAAAAAGCTATGTGAGGATATTCTCTTGTCATACTGGTACAAACTGCAGCATCTTAAGAAAGCTCAGGAGGTTTCCACAATTTTATCTCTAGGATAAGCACAATTTATCATAAGGGAAAGGCTCCCTTGGAGACTCAGTTTGTAGAGATGTGAGAGTAGCACAGCTTCTCTAAAAAAATCAATTCATAGTCTAAAGGAAAATGAAAGAAAAATAGAACTTTCTCAATATAGCTGCTTCCTTTGGTCAATGCAGTCTCCGTTTCCAGGCTTTTATCAAAAACACAGAACCCTTAAAAAGTCCTACCTCCATTTTCACAGAATTCCATTTTCTTTAAAAGTTGTCCAATTGTTCAACATTTTAAAGAGAAAAAAAAGTGTGTATTGCCAGAGTATGTAATAAAAATAATAATAAACAATTTCCTGCAAAAAAGGGTATTTTCCATTTTTCTACTTCTGTAACCATACCTCAACATAACACAGATTGGGTGTTACGACATGATGGTAGTAAATGAACTCCAAAATTTGTTGCTGCTATTTCTAAGAGGTTCTTGGGGTTTGCCTGCTTTTGTTCTTAAGAAGTCAGTAACGTTATCAGTTGCTGAGCAGATTTTTACAAGGAGAATCAACAGGGCCTCATAAGGAGTCAGAAGTGATGGCAAACATAGGGAGCAGCACTAAGGACTGTATCGCAGTTACTGAACCAAAGACAGGCTGGATGGGGCTTTGAGCAACCTGGTCTAGTGGAAGGTGTCCCTGGCCATGGCAGGGGCTGGAACTGGATGAGCTTTAAGGTCCCTTCCAACCCAAATCATTCTATAATTGTACGATACGAAAGGAAACAAGAGGAAGGGCGCCCAACTCTTATACTTACATGCACAAGCTGTCACTTGCTCCTGCATTCCCAGCTCCCAGACCTATGCTTTTCCTACTCTAGACTCTGCCTCTGCTTTCTGGAGTCAGGGAATTCAGCATTATTTATTATGCTCATGTTCCTTTGCACAATGTGCCCAGTGGATTTGTTTGGAGTCCACGCTTACTTCCACAAAGCAGGCAGATTCTGTTCATCGCAAGGGACAGTTGCACCAGGAAACAAAAACCAAACCTGAGGGGTGTTTTCAGCCCTTCTCCTTTGCTGGTGCATGTTCTGACCCATCCCTGCTGCCTGTAGGAGCACCTCAGCCTTTAAAACACCGCCGCACATAACCATTGCTCCTATGGGCTCAAATGTTTCAACTGCCTTTGGGCATCATTGGACTGTGGTCATCCCTAGTTGTGGTCATTGAGCAGAGCAGAGGAAGCTGGTGGCCCAAACTGGAGCATGCCACTCAGCACATAGCAGGAATGGACCAAGCACAGGCTGGGAGCAGGAAGTTCAGGCCTCTGCAGCCCCATGTCCTTACCTAGCACAGTGCAATAAGAATTTAGTGCCATTTCATAAACCACGTTTACGGGCAGTGGGGAGAAACAGAAGCCCCAGTTCAGCAGCACTGGTTTTGTCCCAGATCTTGATCAAAAACCATAAAATTCTGGTGGAAAAAGGTTTTCACCTCTTAACATTGAAATAGGCATTTGAAATTTGGTGGGGAACACCCTGAGAGCAAAAGGCAGGATCCCCATGTAAGAGTTCAGGCGTGCTTGCATCAGCACTGGAACATACACTGAATAGACGGTAGATTGCGGATGAAAGGGACACAGAGGGGCACTCTGTGCCTCTATGGCTGAGAATCCTCTTAAGCAAGGAAAAAACAAAAGGCAAGGAGGATTATTAATGAGTTCAAGACGCATAAAAATGTTCCAGTCATGGTAGCTGAGCCTCATTTGCTCTCCCTGCTTTGCCTAATCACCTACACTGTGATAGTGGAGCCAAAGCAAAATCTTTTACACAGACCAATGTATACATACACTTTACTTTTGCCCAGAGCTTCCACAAAAGCAGAACAACTTCTGGCAAGAAAAAAAAAAAAAAGAGGGGAAAAAAGGAAAAAAAGGGGAAAAAAGGCAACTGTAAAAAATCAATTTTTAGAAAGAATGTAGCATGATGCCATTTTCCTTATATGGGAACTGGTATCCCATGTGGAGGCTCAAACAATAGCCAGCTTGGCAGGGGGGGGCAGTAAGAAGATGACTTGAGGGGGGAAAAAATTATAGAGATATATATTCCCTGCTGGCCCTCACCCTCCATTTCCTCTTGGATTTCTTTGTGACTGCACTGAAAGGGGTCAATGGCTCCCAGCTTGAGAAAGGCAGCTTTTGAAAGGACTATCGCCAGCATCTGTATTTAAAGCATGCCTTTTACTTCACAGCCTCCCCCCCCATAGCTAATGCTGAGCTTTTAAGAAGCAAGCAGCAAGATAAACTTGCAGGGAGAAGGAGAAGGGAAGAGTAGAGGAGGAACAGTGCATGTCTGACTTAGGTTTGCTGACACTTTTGCTGCAGTAAAGCTTGATTGGCATGCAGGGACAGGAAACATAAGCTGCAGATGATCTAAAGCGCTACGGATCATTACACCTTGCTTCAGTCGCCACCTCCCCATCCTTTAAAGCCTGCTACAAAAGCACATGAAGCAGCCAAGCTCCAGGCTGGAAAAGGATTCCAACTGATTAAAAACAATGGGCAAATTAGCACTGGACTCACTGAACACATCAACCATTCACACACATCACATTTGCAACTCTATCTTCAGTGTGTAGGAACTTCTGGTCCTACAAACACAGGCTTTAAATAGGCTTGATTCATTTATCTTGAAAATGAAAGACAGTGGCTAAGTTTATATTTAAGGTTTCTATTTGAGGGAATGCACAGAAAAAGTTAGAGCCATGGATTTACTGGGAGGGAGGAAGAACAGGGCTGGATCCTCCTTTTGTGCCTGTGGACACAGCCCATGTGGAAGCCTGGCACCTACACAGGTTTTCAGCAGCCCTGGCTCTGCTTTGCATTGCAACCTAGTTCAAACGTCCAACTGCAATTATACTGCAGTTGCTTTCTGTATCAGGGTATGGTTTTAATTCACTTTGGAAGAGGATAAATCCAAGTGCCCACACGAAGAGTTCCTATAGATCAGCTGCTGCTCCAGGTCTAAACAGGCCAAAACTCCATCCATGTGCTTTAGAAACCCAGTAACAGTTCTTATTACTAAAGCTTTTCTGAATTTGAGGGGCAAAATGGGTGAAGAAGGAAGCTCCACTTTGTGTTAAGTGGAGACAGACTAATAAGACCAGTTATGGTTTTTCAACTCCAATTTATCTGACCTTATTTGACAGTAAACACCAGCAGACACCACAGCATCACAGGCAGCAAACAGCTATTTCATATAGCTCCTACCAAATTGTCCGAGAGAAGAACCAAAAATGAGGCCAGAGAATGCACCAGAAACTGAGAAGTAAATTGCCTCTGAGAGTCTCCAGCACAACCAGCATTTCACTTCAGTTTCCAATCATACCATCTTTCTCACAGGCATTCAAATACATTAGTCTGTGCCTTATCAGATCCTCCATTATGACTGTAGAAAAGTCTGTGAACTCTGTAGTTCAGAGACGTTTATGGGGCTGTAATAAGCACTGACAGATAAGCCACACTCATGCACACAAGCTTGCAACTGGTTTAACACAATAAAGCCCTCAGCTTTCATAAATACAGCATAGGAAACAGAATCCTCCCATCGCCTACTACTAATTGCATCGGCAGTGGTCAGGGGTTGAAAGAGAAGTAAGCAGGTTAATTCTGTTAGACTGTGCAATAGTATCCCAAGGGGACAAGGGAAAATCCCATCATTTAGAACAGGACTGGTAGACGCTGCTGGGAATGATGTTACATACTAGTAGGGGATTAAGGGTTTGGACTAAAGGGCTTTGTCTTCTCTAGGTCTGGTTTCCACCAGTCATAGTGATTAGAACTGTTTGTTTGCTTGGGGCCCTTTTCAGTTTTGGGTGACCTGAAACATCTCGCCTAGTTGAAAACTAAATGATCAGATTAATTTCTCACTTAACCCCTTCCCCTCAACATATGTTCCTTTATCCCTTAAAAAGCTCTCTGTTTAAATTTAGGTGATTTTCAATATAAAATTGCTTTAGAACAAGAGGTCCAAATATTGTTTTATTAATAGATCATATGCAACATTTTGTTTTTTTCAGCATATTCCTCCAGCACTTTCAGCCTATATTTATCTCAACCATATGAGCAATCTGTACATTTTTGCTGAAATATATTCCCTGTGCTGTAAATACAATGCAAGGTTTCACCCTAACAGATATAGCAGGCAGAGGTGACAAAGCCCCTCTTGAGCCAAATGGATGGAAGAAATTCCTCTGCTCAGTCCATTGCAGCCTGCCCTGAGCATTAGGAGCACCATCTGCCTTACCTGCGTGCTGCTTTGAAGGGGCAGAGCTTCAGAGAAACACTTGCTCTCCTCAAGAAGTCAGGTCGTAATACACATGCATCAGGCAGGATCCTTGCTCCAGGTCCTTAGTGCCGTGATCCAGCCTGGTCAACCTGTCAGAAATAGCCATGAGAAATACATGAGACACATGGCTCCATACTGGGCTTGAGTAGAAGACTGTGACCTTGCTTTACAAACTTCTTGCTTAGGTAAAGATGGCAGAAAAGGACTCTTCATCAGGGACTGTAGTGATAGAACAAAGGGTTGTGGGTTCAAACTTCAGCAGGGGAAGTTCAGGTTAGATATAAGGAATAATGCACAGGGTGCCCAGAGAAGCTGTGGCTGCCCCATCCCTGGCAGTGCTCGAGGCCAGGTTGGACACAGGGGCTTGGAGCAAGCTGCTCTAGTGGAAGATGTCCCTGCCCATGGCAAGGGGTTGGAACTGGATGAGCTTTAAGGTCCCTTCCAACACAAACCAATCTAGGATTCTGACAGGACAGGACCAACAGGAAGAGATGCAGCAAGTCCCCTGAAGGCAAGTGCCAGAACAGAGGATGGAGTAGTGCATGTGTGAAAAACCAAAGGTAGTTGAATGTTTAACACACACACACACACACACAAACTCCCATATTATATGAAACAAATACACACACACATGTTCACTTGCTGGATAGACGTTAGAGTACAACTGTACCCTGAATGGCGGGAGCCAGAAAAGACTGAGGATGAAAAAGAGGGCAAAGTGATGGAGCTGAGAGGCAGGCAAGGGTGGGATGAAGATGCCAACAAAGCCAGGAGGAGAACAGTTCAGTGGGAGATGCTCAGGTGGCAAAAGCATTAAGCAAGCAAAAAAAGGTAAGTAGGAGCCTACAGAGAGGCAGGAATGGCCAGTGGGAACACAGGAGGGATCATGCCAGATCTTGTCTGTTTTCTCCTTGCAGAAGTCAGGCAGAGCCAGGGCACAGAGGTGGAGCCAGCACTTAGAGCAATCACCCCGTAACGGCTTCTCTCTGCAAAACAGCACCGAGCCTGGATCTTGTTCTCCCTGACAGCTCCAATTCAGATATGAGGCTGGCGCCATGCAAATCCATGTCAGGGTATTACTTCTCTCCTCCCCAGTCTACCTCGCTGCTTTGCTTTCTTTTGGAACCAAGCCCCTTCGCTCTGCCCAGCCTCTCTAGCAACCCAAAGCCAATGCCATGTGTCCACATACAGGGTGAGGGAGCATCAGTGCCCCTACACACAAAACAACACTTAGAAACTCCTTTAGGGTCAAGAAGAAAAGCTGGGACAGAAGGTCCTTTCACAGCATCTCCTTCCATCAGCCCTGAAAGACACTGAGACAGGGCTGCAGCTGGACATGTCCAGCTCCCATTCTCTGTCATGCTCGCTGGAGGATAAAGCCATACTGAGCTGGACGAACATTCCTTTGTCCATCCACTAGATGAAAAAGCAACTAACGATAATCCATCTGGGAAGTGCTAATGTCACACCAGACCACATGAAAGGAAATTCCTGCCATGCATGTGGGTATCAGCCCTCTGTCAGCAGCCCTCTGATCCTGTCTGTAAAGGTACTATATCACACTGCCCCAGGACAAGCAGCAGGTCATGGGAGGGAATTCTCCCCCTCTATTACTCTCACATGAGACCCCAACCTGCAGTCCTGCATCCAGCACTGGGGCAACAGCACAAGAGGGACCTGGAGCTGTTGGGGTGAGTCCAGAGGAGGCCACAGAGATGCTGCGAGGGCTGGAGCAGCTCTGCTCTGGAGCCAGGCTGAGAGAGCTGGGCTGGGTCAGCCTGGACAAGAGAAGGATCCTGAAGGGGAGACCTTAGAGCAGCTCCAGTGCCTAAAGGGGCTGCAGGAAAGCTGGAGAGGGGCTTGGGACAAGGGCCTGTAGGGACAGGCCAAGGGGAATGGCTTTAACCTGCCCGAGGGGAGACTGAGATGAGCTCTTAGGCAGAAGCTCTTCCCTGTGAGGGTGCTGAGGCGCTGGCACAGGGTGCCCAGAGAAGCTGTGGCTGCCCCATCCCTGGCAGTGTTCAAGGCCAGGTTGGACACAGGGGTTTGGAGCAAGCTGCTCTGGTGGAAGGTGTCCCTGCCCATGGCAGGGGTTGGAACTGGATGGGCTTTGAGGTCCCTTTAACCCAAACCATTCTATGATTCTGTGACAAGGGAGAGGCTCCGTGGGACACAGGAGCACAGCACACCACATCCAGCCACAGACCCCCTGCTGAAAAGAGCTCTGCAGCCTTATACGCACCAGAGGAGGAACATGGTGTAGTGAGCAGAACAGGGCCCCACCAAACAGGCACTCAGACAGATGTTCTCCTTGCCCCTGTCTCTAGAGGGCTCACATGCTTTCAGCTGAGCTTCATCCTTCTGTGGGTCTTTGTTTAAAGCCTCTTCCCTGCTCTGCTCAGTCTGGCATTTCAAATACATGCATTCTTGTTAAAGAGGAAGGGGACGTATTCAAGAGGAGCAAGTGCTTGCATGTAGAAAATGTATACATCCATGTACTTCTGCGCAGGACAAAGTGCTGCCTAATAGAAATCTATCTTATCAAACATGGTCCTGCTTGTTTTAGACATGTGGTATTGGATAGGAACTCCTAGCCTCTGGAAACAATGAAGAAAAACAAGACTAATTTATTCAGGTTTGTAAAGTGCTCTGAAACCAGAAGATGGAAAGTGTCGTTGACAGTCATCAAAAATTTGATCAATGGCATCTTTAATACCAATTTTCCCTTTCCATTATGGAAGAACCATGATGTCCATACAGGCAAACCCCATTCATTCCCTATTACTCTTCCAGCTGATGCACCATTGTCAACAGAAGCAGAGAGCTCTGACATATTTAGGGTCACTAACACTGTATTTAGCCTTCTGTGCGTACTTGCTCATATGAGAGATTTCAATCACCTCTATTCAAGGAACATTAAGCAACAGAAGACATCTCAGGTCACCTAAAACCTCCTCTCCCGTGGAGGATCATGCCTCTCCCTTCCCCTCACTTAGTTTGTATCTAATCCAATTGAGAATGTCTCAAGCAGTGGAATTATTCTCTTTCTTAGAATCTAAGTCTGACAGAGAGCTGTCTTCAGGACTTGTTGCCTCCATAAACAGTCTGATTATGGGTTTTAATCACGATTCCTTTGTACCCCACTAGAGCAAAAGCAGGAGCATGTGTGAAATGTGAATAAGGACATAAAAACCCATGCTTATGCAGAGTGATTGAGGGACAGCAGCATCACAGGATCCAATACTCTTTTAGCCCCATAGGTGCATTATCAATAGAGCCAGGGGACTATGGGTCATCTGGGCTCAATACATTCTTAATATGAAAACAAAACCAAACAGAAGCTTAACAAGGAATTTCTCCTGGTTAGTTGCCCTGCTCTTACAGTCTCTCTGATCACTGCTGGATGCTATCAAACACAAGAGCTTGGGTTAGACAAGATCTGACCCAACCTCGCAGCTCACGGGTGCCCCTTCCTCAACACTGCAGTGTGATATACCCTTGGGGCTTTACGTCCTGTTGCTCCTGAGGTTGGTTTGACTTAAGGGGTACAAAAGACACTGCTGGAATTAAACTTTATTATTATTATTATTATTATTATTATTATTATAATATTTTAAATGCAGCCCTCATCACAGCTTCCTCTCACTTCTTCAAAGTTTGTTTGCTTTGGGGCCCCAATGGTTTTATAGCTTACAAATTCCTTCTTTTTGTTGCCTTCTATACTTCTACAATCATACACATGTTTGTCTAAAGGCACTTAATCAAGCATAAGGAACACGAGTTTGCACTATTCAGAGACACGGAAATCAGGAGGAACACAAAGCGTTCCCATTTTACATTTTATACATCACAAGCAACACCAAAACAGATGTAAAACGAGCCAATTCCTCATTACATTTTCCACTTCCCATAACACAAATCTTTGTGCATTAAACACAACTGAAAGTGAGCTGTGGAGTTGGCATTAGCTTGACAGATGCTGAGATGAGCTGCACCAGAAAGGAATATCTCAGCCCGAGAACAGCGCATGTTAAAAAGGCATCTGCTTATTGTTTGATGCATGTATTTATTTACACAGACAGCTCGCTGACACGCTGAAAGGTTAGGGAGGGTGGTGGAGGCTGGCATTTTTAACTCTCAGCATGCAGTTTGTTACCCTTTGGTCATGTCCCAAGCTTCCATTCTACTGCTGAATGGTGGCAAAAAGGGGAGGCAGGGTCCCCTCTGCTGTGTAGACTTGGCTCCCCTCCCGGAGTTTGCCCTTACAGCACACAAGGCAACGCTTCCAAGTTCAGCCTCCACAGGCATGCTGCCCCCAGGGCTCCCCCTCCAGCTCCTGGGGCCTCTGTGCCTTTGATAGAGACATGAGAAGAGTCCCTCACAAGCCAGTCAAGCACAGCTTCTTGTGTATTAAAAAGAGATCTTCTTTAACAAGAAAGAAGATTAATTAAGTGGGTAAAATCCCACAGGTTGGAACAGCAGCTGAGGAATTATCTTTCTATCAGGTTGGTAATGAGGACTGGGAAAAAAAAACACCTCACACAGACATTAACAGCTTTATACGGGCTCATTGGCATTCCAGATCAGATGCGAGGCTTGGCTTTCCCAGGAGCAGCAGATGCAGCTCCAGCTACAGACCAGACTCTGGGCAAACTACAGTTTGCCCTGCTGAGAACAGCATTGCCACGATGCCTCACTGTGAAAGGCACAAACCTCTCTCGCGATTAACTTCTTTCCCCACAAAAATGATGCCCAGGGAGATAGTACGTCACAGCATCCAATGCCTCAGGTTGATCTGACACACCTCCAAAACCTGTGTTCAGATATATAAGAGCACAATTGTGTGAGAGATAGATTTAAATCAATATATATTGGGGAATGTGAACAGCCAGCACTTGTATAGGCGCACATCAAATGACATGATCAAGCACTGACCGAATCCACCTCTTTTACCATCCTGATTTCCCTACCAGCACTGCTGGCTTCTTAATCTTTAACACCCACAAGCACTATCAAATTCTAACAAAATAATGTAGATAATTTCCCATTCCCTGCAATGGAAAAACATCCTGGTTTGGGGTCAATGACA